CTTTACTACTACCTAAATCACACACCCAGAACACTAAGCGAAGTCTTGATCTGCATTTTGACGTAAAATGTACTGAATTCGGAGACTCGTCATGACAGTCAGGTAACTAATTTTGAGGAAAGAGATCAGCAGTGGCAGTCTGTATAGTTCTGCAGCATTGGTTTCCCTAAAATAGGATTGGCTAAGCAGAAGCTGGAGATAAATGATATATCCATATCAGCATCACCTCACCTGGTCTCTTCAACCTGATTTCCTCACTATTAGGCCTAAGGCTGGGTCATATACTATACAATTTTCTGTCCAATTTCTGCCCAATTTCCTTAGAAATTTCTGCCCAATTAGATTTACCTTCAACTGTGTAGTGCAAGGGCCTGCCTAATTGGATACAACTGAAAGTGCTATGTAGGTTTGACCTCCTATTATATGGTATTTGGTAAATCTAAAACAAAAATCTCAAGAAAATTGAATAATGTATGGCCAGCATTATTCACACTGCTATAAAAATGTTACTGATATTATTACACATGTGTTTTCTAGGAGAATAGTTCCTGTGTAATGATCAGTAAAACATTTTTGTGTAATAGATACATTTAAATGCGTAAAGATGCATATGCATACATAATTTTTTAAATGATAATTTATTTTCCCTTTGTTTAGACTTCATTTATGTGCTTACAAATGCATATAGCTGTACATATGTTTAAATGTGTAAACGTGTAAAGTGCATGTTTCTTAGACACAGATTTTAGATTCTATTGCAGCCATAGACGGGCCGAAAACCGTCGTTTAAAAAAAAAAAAAAAAACCCGAAAAATCGGTCGTTCAATAGGCCGACGTTACCACCAATGGTAAAAAAAATCGGCCGATTTTCGTCTCGTCTATGGCCAGCATTTAATTACTTCTGCAGAGAGCTCCGCTATTATATTTGACATGAAAAAGTCTTGCGGTTGCAACAATGTATCTATTTGTATCCATTTCGGATACAGATGTTTTTAATCGGATACAAATAGAAACATTGTTGAAACCGCAAGACTTTTTCATGTCAAATATAATAGCGGACTGGAATTCTTATTCTTCTTTTTCTTCTTCTTCTTCTTTTTCTTCTACTTGCAGGTCACGGCTCCTGCGCAGATTTTTTATCGGTAAAACGATCGGCCGATTTGCCCATCATTGCCGGGAAAATCGGCCGATCGGCAAAGTCAGCCGATTTTTTTTTCCAACTTTACAGATAAAAAAAATGTGCCAAAACCCCGAAAAACAGCTGACCAATTAACCCATTAACGGTGCGAAAATTTTCAACCCGTCTATGGCCTGCATATGTTACAGATCTGAAAGCAGCTCATATTTATGCACCTGTGTGAATGGCTTCATTGAAAACAATGCAGCTGCATTCAGATCCATAATCAAAAAGCACTGGTATATACATTTTTAATGGCTGTATGAATGAAGCCTTAAAAATAAGAAGATGATGTCTCTGACCAGTATATCATGCATCAGAGAATATTTAATCATCCATTCCAGAAGTGTAACTTCTGAAATAAAAAATACTTTTCAAAGAAGAGGGGATATTTGTGGCATGCAAATACTCACTACCAATATATAGATAAAATCACAGATTTCTTTTTCATATAGAGGTGTTTACAAACTCTCTTGATTAAAGATCTTGAACAGATCCATAATGATATCAATACTGCATATATGTAGAAGCATGCCAATTTCAAAGAGTTTCTTCAAAGTCCACTTTTGATACACATGCAGTTCATGTGAAAAAGATGATCTATTGTTATGGATGAAATAGATTGTTCCTAAAACAACATTGTTAAGTCCTTTGAACAGTTGATACATGACGCCATAAAGAACCTCTTCAAAATGGTGTCAGAGCAGGGAAGTCAATTCAGCAGTCAGGGAAAAAAGAGAGGTTAGGATGTCCCCCTAGGAAAAAACCCCTCTCAGAGCCATTCACTGACCACATGAAGAAAGAGCCTAGCAAGTTCTCATTGAGAAACAGTGTGACTTCTGAGGTACAGTATGTTTTTATTCAGCTAAAAAATGCCTGCAAGTTTACTAAAATAATGGTTTGTTGACAATGGTTTGTGGCCAATAAGAAGGCTTCTCTCTCTGTCGAATTTTTTTGCATAGGAACTCACAAAAGTCAGGTGGACAGAAACAGAATTGGGAATTATGGCTGGGAGATCCCTCTACTACAGTATCCAAGAAGCCTACCTATGTCCACCTATTAATAAATCATCATTGTTACTATATAAGGCAAAATAGAATATAAAAATCCATCAACAGTATATCCTGATGGATATCTGAATGATTGTGTTTATTTACATGCAAACCATGCATTAAAATTTTAAGCTGCAAAATTTGGTTTCTCCTCCTTTATGTATGCAATACCAGAGCAGGAATATTCCACCCAAATATATAGAGAAGCTAGAGAGGATCACTGGCTCCCTAATTGGTGTTGGTATGTTTTATTGCTCTCCTGTGGAACACCTGCTATTTAAGACACCATCATGTGTATGACCAACTAAAACTTTTCAAGACTTTGGAATGGCCTATGACACACAGTTGTCTGTGGGACATGCTCAGAAATCTCTACACACCAAATTCTCAGAAGGAGCATGGTCAGAAATTGACCAACTGGCATTCGAGGCACCTGTACCAACTGCATGTGTAAGTAACAAACAGCTTTTAGAACTATGGCATCACCTATGGTACCGAACTGCATAGGAAAATTCAATCAAACAACATGTCCAAGAAGTTGAGACTTCAAAACATTTGTCCAATAGAATGAAGAAGATGTCATCATGCAATGAGTTTACTGGCTTTGGTAAGACTGCTCATTTGAAGTAAGGCTCCCCTTTGCTGTGTAGCAAGAAAGTGACTCAAAGAATCCAATTGCTTTTGTAATTTTTGGTATGATCATAGAGAACAGCCAACAACACGTTTTGGAGGCTAACACAATCCCTCTTCATCATGGCTTAAGTGGACTTAATGGGACAGATTACCAGACAGATCTGTAATAGCCTGTGTGGTTTGAAATGGCATGGATGGACGAGTCCCCTCGCAGGGCTGTTTTTAAACAGAACAAGCTATTCTCACAGGTAGCAGTTAAAAGGTTGAAGACAAACCATTTAACACTGACAGGGGTGCTTACAATGATCATCTTTTGTTTATTTATGTAAAACCTTTATCTCAAAGGGAACAAAATTGTTTGCTAGAACTGCTTATAAATTGCTAGCTGCACCTGCAATTTGTTGTTGTGTCGAAATCTGCTAAAATGCTGCTGTCCAAAGGTGCCCCCTGTGCTCCTTCATCCAGAATGGTGGCACTCTAATACAGGAGGTGTGTTACTGGCCACATCACTGGATGAAAAACAGAGTAAAAAAGGCCTAAACAAGAAAATGATTGCAGACACCACATCTAATGATTGGTAAGCTGCAATATATTTTTGGTTTTGGGTTTAATACTGCTGTAAGAAATAGACTTTTAGCGAGCCAGCAGGTCATACATTAGAATTGCCTCTGAAAGATGTTAACAGTGTATTGGCAGTATAAAGTATGACTAAAGGCAAAACATTTTTTTTTTGGATAGCGTGGAGAGGGATTAGAATGCTTGTCAGTTTTTATTGCGGTCTGTGCCCTCATTACAGAGATGAAAGTAAAAGAAAATCCCAAATTTTGGGATGTCCCCAGAAAAGTAATAGAGGGGAAAATCTTGGGGACACTAGTTCTGGTTACCTGGGGGTCCCCAGAAATTCCCTTAATTTTCAGGGATTTCCTCTCACTTCCTGTTTAACTATGGAACCTGAAGGGAAGGAAAATCTCTGCAATGGCCCTGGTCCTAGCGCCCGCGTGTTAGTGCGGTTTGGCAATCTGCGCATGCACAGAGCTATGCGCCGTGGCGATCCCTGACAAGGAGGATGCAGAACCCCTGACCTCTCTCTGGACAGTGCTAATTGCCCCTGTGCTGATCACATGCACTCTCCCAAGAAAAAAACAAAACCTCTCAAACAATACACACCAAACTGAGCATGTGCATGTGACTATGGATTCAGTCTGTATCAGGTGGTCATTTCAACAAGAGGAGGGGCAGAGAAGAAAGGATCAAACAGCCTTTTTACAGAATGCAGAGGATTAACCCCTTAGGTTCCACCTGTGAGTATAACAAACATTATTTACTGCATATACAGACTGATTTCACTGTTGTGGGTTTAGTAACATTTTAAAGTCAGGATCCACCCCAGAGTCTGGAGTGGCATCTGGCTCAGCCTCTCAGCGGGAGGAGGGGGCAGAACGGCTGTGAGAACTCATGTCATGTGATCGCTGAGTTCTCACACTTAGAGCCTGCGTGGGACAGATGCAGGATCAGATTGATGCTGCATCCACCTAGGTAAGTATGATTTAAAGAAAAAAATCCTATGCTTCTCTTTTAAGTCACACTGCCTCTGATCGCTTGCCTTCTTCCCATAATGCATCCTGATGCCATCTCTTCCCTATGTAAGTGTTGCGCACACACCTGGCCATTCACATGATGTAAAGGGAATTGTAATTTATCAGATCAGGCCACCATCTTCCATTGCTCCCTTGGTCCAATTCTGATTCTACAATATGCCCATTGTAGACATTGTGGCTATAGATATGAGTCAGCATGGGCACCCTGACTAGTCTTCAGCTACACAGCCCTATTCACAATAAACTGTGATGCACTGTGGGCGAGATTTACTAAAGCTGGTTCACTCAGAATCTGGTGCACCTGTGCATAGCAGCCAATCAGCTTCTAATCTTAGCTTGTTCAATGAAGCTTTGGCAATATAATCTGGAAGCTGATTGGTTTCTATGCAGAAGTGCACTTGATTTTGTATTCTCCAGCTTTAGTAAATAAACCCCTTCTGACACCTTTCTGTTGGGAGCAGCATGAACTTTTTCAGCAACTTGAATTACAGTAGCTCTTCTTTTAGATCAGATTGCACGGGCCAGCCTTCGCTCTCCTCTGGCATTAGTGAGCCTTGGCCAGGGGCAGACTGACAACTCATGGGGCCCCCGGGCAATAGGGGATCATGGGGCCCCTGTGTCCTTGCCCAAATGCTTTTTTGAGTTTGGGCAGGACATAGGGGCCCCATGATCCCCTATTGCCGGGGGCCCCATGAGTTGTCAGTCCGCCCCTGCGCTCAAGCACTAAATGCACCTAGCGTTAACATGCTTTTAGATGTTTTTTACACACTTTTGCAAGCGTCAAGTATTTTTTCTGCCAAAACTTTGCTGCTCTTAGATGCATTGGCAGTAGGTTTTTTTTCTGCCTTTAAAAGCCCCTGCTACTAAATGCTGCTAAAAGTCTGTGTGTGCATGGACACATAGGGGCAGATTTTACTAAAACCGATGCACATAGGATCTGGTGCAGCTCTGCATAGTAACCAATCAGCTTCCAGGTTTTATTGTCATAGCCTAAATCAGGGGTTTCCAAACTTTCTAAACAAAGAGCCAGTATACAGTCCTTCATATTGTGGGGGGGGGGGGGGGGGGGGGGGCAGACTGAGGCCAATGGAAGTATAAAATGTCCTGATGGCAGTGGGAGTAGACAATGCCTCATTGTTGGTGTCAGTGGTGGAAATAGTGCCCCATTGTTGGTGTCATTAGGAGGAATTTGCCTCTTCATTGATGTCACTGGGAAGAATAGTTCCCCATTGTTGGTGTCAGTGGGAAGAATTGCGCCCCGTTGTTGGTGTCATTGTGAAGAAGTGCGCTCGTTGTTGGTGTCCTTGGAAAGAATTGCGCCCCATCTTTGGTGTCATTGGAAAGAATTGTGCCCCACTGTTGGTGTAATTGGTAGGAATTGTGCTCCATTTTTGGTGTCATTGGGAAGAATTGTGCCTGTACACTGGTGTTAGGGGGAGGACATATACCCAACTGTTGGTGTCAGAGGATGGAATAGTGTCCCAAGGGCCAGATAAAAGCAAGCAAAGGGCCATAACTGTTTGGAGACCACTGGCCTAAATGAATAAACTGAAGTTAGCAGCTGATTGGTTACTATGCACAGTTGTACCAGATTCTGAGTGCACCAGTTTTAGTAAATCCCCCCCATAGGCTAACATGCAGGAGAGTTTAGCGGGTAGGAAAAAAAAACACCAGGCACCCCTAGAAGCAGATGCAAAAACATCCAGTGTACATGACGCCTACTTGTCAGTGGCCATACTGCTATGGTTGATCTGCCTGCCTTATAGTAAAAAAAGGCATAATATGTATGTCAAAAATGTCCTTAATTGTTTGTTGGGCATCATTCAACTCAAAAGAGGACTATCACTGGACTTCAGAGAGTTGAGTCTTCATGTGACAGAGCCAAAGAGGAGGTATTTTTTAACTAAAATTTTTTGTTAGGCCCCATGCACACAGGGCTTTAACAAAAAACCTCTTTTACAAGCATTTGGCATTTATTTGTCAGCCTGTAAAAGCGCCTATATGTTAGCCTATGCGTCCATGCACACATAGGAATTTACAAGGGTATTAGAAGAGGAGCATTAACAGGATGAGAAAAAAAAATCTTCACCAGCACGTTCAGAAGGGGAGCTTTTAAGCAGAAAAAAAACACCTGACAAGTGTAACTGCGTCTAAACACATCTAAATGCACTTAAATGCTAGATGCATTTATTTCAGTGGTTCTCAACCTGTGGGTCGCGACCCCTTTGGGGGTCGAACAACCCTTTCACAGGGGTCACCTAAGACCATCGGAAAACACATATTTCCAATGTGTAAGAGCAGCTACTGTGTAGAAAGCAGCTGCTGTGTTGAAAGCAGCTACTCTTTTAAAAGCAGCTAATGTGTAGAAGGCAGCAGTATTGGAGGTAAAACGACACTTCATGAATTATAATTACTGGGTAAATAATGTTATGGTTGGAGGCAGGGGCGGACTGGCCATTTGGAAACTTGGGCACTGCCGGAGGGCCCGGGGTCAGTGGGGGGCCCCATGAGATGCTCCTGGTACCTTTTTTCATAGGCTTTTTTTGAGTTTGGGCAAGGACACAGCGGCCCCATGATCCCCTATTGCCCCCTGGTTGGGGGTCACCACAACATGAGGAACTGTATTAAAGGGTCGCGGCATTAGGAAGGTTGAGAACCACTGATTTATTTGTTTGTTTGTTCATTCCAATAACCAGAATAAATTAATATTTGCCCCAATGGAATCTATTAACACTCAAATGCTTGACTCACCTGAACACATGTGCAACAAGCAGCTTTAGGCTCGTTTTTTAAGCAGCTTTCTCCTACCAGGAGTAAAAGGCATTTAGAATAGAAATGCCCTGTGTACATGGAGATGTAAAAATAGAAATATGACCTCCCACTAAAATAAAATATGTATGCACTTAATTATTCACTTGATTATAATTCTCTTAGGTCCCATGCAAAGTCCAGCAAATACCTGTTGAGCTTGTCAGTGAAGTTCTTCTACTGTAGCTTTCTGTAATGGTGTGACAACAATGTTGCATTGCTCCTGAATTCAGAGTTGAGTTGTCACTCTCATTTAGGCTGTGTCTGCTTGCTCTGCTTGCTGGAATGAAAAAATATTGTAGGAGTGAGGAAAGGAGCATGTGAGAAACAGATGAAAAAGTAATTGGCTCAGTCAGGGAAGGTAAAAGATTTTTTTATTTACTTTGTGAGGCTTGTGCATAACTGGATTTTGCATTTATTTAGACACCGAGGGCTAGTTCACACTGGATCACGGTGCCTTGAATGTGTTGCCCTTGTGAGACACTAGCAGGTGCCGTTAGATTTATTGCATCTCACAAACTCAACTCGAGTTTGCGGCCATGTGGTTTGGTGTGCCACAGCCGGAAAAAGTAGTGCTAGCACTACTTTTTCCTATTCAGATACGTTTGACAAACCATTGAAATGAATAGATTGTCAAAACTGGAACGCGTGAGACTTCATGGGAATGCACGCATGCTAGTATGAACCAGCCCTCATACAGGAGCCTTCAGTTGTAAATTGTCCACTGATGTAACGAAACCGCCCTGTGAAATGCTATGCGACCTTAGCCGGAGTAGATGTAGATAGGAAGTGGCTGCAAAGAGGCCGCAGGAAATTAGTAGCACTGAGATGCAACAACAAATTAAACAATGGTGAAAACATTATGTCATTTAAAAAAATGGTAATTGTTGATACCCATTATTTTAGCTACCAAAATAATATTAAATGTGTCCAGTTTAAATCTTTCCTCGCTGCTAAAGATGGCAAGCTTTTTAGTAAAAGGGGTTTAATAACTCAGCCTTGCCCACTTTGAATGGAGTACAGTAAAATGGAGTGCAGTAATTAGGAATTATGGCTTCTGCCTGCAGCCATCTATACAAAATCAAATGCAGTGATAGCAACCCCCTTGAGATCCAGGATACGTGCACTTGTACAGGAGAGAGTCTAGTGACTTTCTGTATTATGGTGTCGGTGCTTTGGATGAGCGGCTGACACTGCTTCCCACACACTCTCTCAGCTTTCAGCAGATGATCATTTCCAGCAGCAGAACAACATGGAGCAAACTGTTTCATAGATAAAGTTAAATGTAAATATCATATTCTTACTGGACAGTCCTAGTTATGATACCCAGTATTTTCTGATGTCATTTTTTTTTTAGTTCAGTTTTTTTTTTCTATATATACTGAGCCAGCTTCTTATTTTATTATTGCTTCAACATACCACGTTTTATACAGCTTCCATTACCTTGACAAGCTAGATAAAGGCACTGTGCATTGGCCAAAATCTTTTTATGTTCTGCGTAAATACGAAACCTTCATCCTGCATGAATAAAAATGTTTAATCTGTGAGGGATGCACTGTGTGTATGTATATATATATATATATATATATATATATATATATATATATATATGTATGCACACTGTATATTTGTTGATCTGTGATTTCTAATTTTAAACTGCACACAAACACACTATACCACCAACAAATAGACAGGTATAGAATGCAAGGCGGAGTTCCAGCCATTTTGTGTTTATTAAAAGTCAGCAGCTACATTTGTATGAAGCTAACTATCCCCCATTGTTTTGGGCGATTTTTACTCTCCTGAATTAGTGGGATGCTTATAATATATCTTTCCTGGGCAGGGTGAATGTGTTAAAAATGTCAATTTTACCAAACTTACTTTATCTCTTTGAGACTCTCTCTGTGGCAATACCGCAGTCTCAACTGCGAACTCTACAGCGAGCATTTCTTAGATTTATTTAACATGCCAGAAAACCCTGAATAGCGAAAACGGTTCTTCTGACATCTAAAAATAACGGAGGCCTGGGGGTACCAGACATTATCAAATACTATTTAGCTGCTCATTTAAGACAAACATTATCATGGTTCACCCAAAAACCCCGGAACAGATGGTCAGAGATTGAACATTACGGTCATACATTTATTGATACATTTATCCGATCCACACATGTTCTTTGTTACGCCCTTCTAACTATGCATTACCCCTGTCCCCTGCCCCCCCTATGCTTGACTCTGTGAAATTCACCCTCAAAATATGGTCAACATGTGTGAAGTCTCAACAGCTGATGTCTATATGCTCTCCCCTGCTGAAAATTTTATATAATCTGGAACTCTCAGATAGCCTATCTTACCCACAGATGAGCTCTTGGGCAATCAATGGGATATTTCAACTCCGACATCTGATCAACCCGGTTTCGGGCAAGATTAGGTCATTTGAGAAGATTAGAGTGTGAAAATCCACAATACCTGAATCAGCCAGATATACCTACCTACATTTCCGACATTTTTTCCATGCCCTGACAACCACTGTAAAACTAGACTGCCCCACGGATTTCGAGAGGATAGCTGCTAAAGGTCCCTCCCAACAACATCTTATCACCTCTTTATATAAACCAGTCCTCAATAACAGCTCTCTTGTTGAAAACCCTCATCATTATATGAGGAGATGGGAAGACGAACTTCAATGTCTAATCTCTTTGAAATGTTGGCAGATGATTTGGGACTCTGTTACTAAGACCTCTCGCTGTGTTGTGTATAAAGAAAATTTATATAAAATATTGATGCATTGGTACAAGACCCCTGTAGTGTTTCATGAGATTAACCCGAATCTGTCTGACAGGTGCTGGAGGTGCATGGGGGAGGAGTAGGCACCTTGGCGCACATTTTTTGGTTTTGTCCACAGATTACAAGTTACTGGAATAGGGTTAAATGGTCTTGGAGTATGTACTCAATATTGCCCTCCCCCTAGACCCTTTACGCTATCTTTTGGGGCTACCCTTTAGGGGTATTTCTAAACATTTTAAAAATTGGGAGTACATATTCTGACAGCTGATAGACAGGTGATACTATGACTCTGGAAATCAGTTGATGTCCCTACACTGGATCATTTATTAAAAGCGATCTCTGAAATCAGAGAAATGGAATATCTGACGGCTCTAGTGGGTGACTACTCAGGTCATTTTCAATCTATTTGGGAACCATGGGATAATTCTCCCTTTGGTAGATCTCCTTCCTCTTCCCACTCTCCCCTTCCCCCCCTTATATAGCTCAGACATCTCTTTACTCACTGAGCCCCTGACAAATAATGTAACCCAACAGTTTGCAGGTTCATGTCGCTTTATTTCCTTGCACTATGCAGTTTGCCATGCTGTATAATTATGTTCATATTTCTTTTGTTTATGTTTTCTTTTGTATAGATTGTGGTTTTTCTCAATTGCAACGTTTACACCTAAAGTGTTGTTGTATTTTCTGTTTTGAAAAAATGGGCTTCGGCCTTTAATAAAAATTTACAATTTAATAAAAAGTCAGCAGCTACAAAAACTGTAGCTGCTGACTTTTAATAAGCACACACACTTACTTGTTCCAGAGTCCAGCGATGTACTCACCCGCGCTGTCCCTTCTCCTCTTCTTTCCTCCACAGCACCAGCATCTCAACTGTGGGAACCAGGCTGTGACAGCTTCACAGCCTGGTGCGCACTGCGCATGCATGAGTCGCGCTGCGCCTCCTGATTGGGCCAGCAGTCTTCTGGGACCTGAGAAAGTTCCCAGGAGACTGCTGGAGGAAGGTGGGGGCCGAACTTCCTGTCAAAAACAGGTATCCGCTCCCCCCCAAAAGGTGCCAAATATGGCAGTGGAGGGGAGAGGAGGCTAATAAGCAGAGCTTCTGCTTTTGAGTCGAACTTCACTTTAATTTGAATGTTTGTACAGAAACTCTGAAATATTGTCCATCAGAGCATTCAACCTTGCCCTCATTGCGTCAAGCTTGAAAGCCCTTACTGTAGAACTATAGAAAAAACTTTTCTTCTCATTTTGGATAGAGTAATGTAATCCCTGTCAGGTTTTTTTTTTGCCACCTGTGTCCCATTTAGAAGATTTACCTTCATTTACTGTTCCATAGCAAAAACAGGAAATGAGAGGAAATCCTGCAAATGAAGGAAATCACTTGAGGCCCTCTAGGTCACCAGAACTAGTTTTCCTCTATTACCTTTTTGGAGATAACCTAAAATGTGGGATTTTCTTTTATGTTCACTTTCCATGATAGCAGTAAATGGGACAATTAGAGAGAGTGAAGCTCCCTAATAGGGCAGAGGTAGCAATAAATACATGACAGATGTTCTAATTCCTCTCCACTCTATCCAAAAAATGGATTCCTAATAACAATTTTGTTTGGACCAAAGTGGCCAAAAGGATTACTCATTGTTTCACAAGGTTCCAGTCACTGTGTATCCAGTAATACAGTGCAGCAGCTAGTAAGGTTATCCACTCATTTCTCACTTCAGCCAATCAGTGAACGCCTTGTTCACTGATAAAGATACAAAACACACCCTGAAACGGCTGATATACCACATCACTTTTCTTTTCTTCTGGCCATACAAGGGAAATGAGTATGGCTTGGTCAGAACACAGCACACATAAGAGTAGGCAGCACAAGCTGCTGAACTGTATTATACAGCGTCCAGAACCTTTTGTAACAAGGAGTAATCATTTGGGACATGCAGGTCCAAACTAAATTTTAGGGAAACCAAACATGTTTTGGCCTAAAATCGCATCCAGACCAAGATTATGGCCAGTTTAAGCCATCAATGGCTATTGACCCTGGCTGCAAAGTCCACCACCATATCTGACATCAGACACCATATCTGCCAATTTGTCAGACCAGATTAGACAAGATAGAGTATATACATACAGGGGCAGACTGACCATTTGGAAACTCGGGCACTGCCTGAGGGCCCGGGGTCAGTAGGGGGCCCCATGAGATGCCCCTGGCACCTTTTTCATAGGCTTTTTTGAGTTTGGGCAAGGACACAGGGGCCCCATGATCCCCTATTGCCCGGGGGCCCCATGAGTTGTCAGTCCGCCCCTGTATACATATAACATCATGGAACATTGGAAACATAATTTTCAAACTGCATTGATTCGAGTTTATTGCTTCCTTCCTTATTATGATATTTCCTCATACATCATTGTGTGCTGTATGGAAGCAGATTTTGTCATACAGTCCATCCACTAATATTCATTGACTTATGCAGGTGGACATGGCTTGTGCAGTATACTGTTGACTTGGACCCCTTTCAGACAAACATTCCAATCGGGTCCACCGGTCTGTTTTTTCATTCGGACTTGATCGGAGCCTCCATTCTCCTCTATGGAGCAGAGGGTGTAAACGGACATGTGTCTATTTACACCTGCCTACACCTAATCTGATCTGACCTACAAAAAACAGACAGATGGGGATCAGCTCCCTTTCTTTCCAGCAGATCAGATCGAATGGCAGTCAAGTGAAGACGGACAGGTGGTTCATTTACATCTGACCACCTACAGAGGAGAGCGGGTTGTGTCCAGTGGTGTATTTAGGTTTTGTGCTGCCCTAGGCAACACAAAAATCATCTACCCCAGGGACACTGACCAACACCCCCCCTTCCCCCTCCCACAGAGAGAGCCTGACATTGACCAACAAGACCCCCACCCCCCCACCCGGGAGACCCTTCCACTACACCACCCCCCCCCCCCCCTCCCCCGCGATAGAGAGAAAGACACTCATCTTAAAAGCTTCAGACATCCCTGGGAACGAGAGTCAGGCTTTACATACACATCAAGCAGCCCGAAGCCTCTCTTGGATACCACCTGGTTCCCATGGCGTGCATGTCCCTTCTTTCATCCCTTCATCTTGGGGTAGGTGCTGCCCCCCTGAAAAATACCGCCCTAGGCAAGTGCCTTGTTTGCCTTGTGGTAAATACGCCCCTGGTTGTGTCCCTGTCTGCTCTGCATAAGAGGAACAGACACAGATCTTTCATCATGCTCAGTGAGGGACCATTAGACAGATCCCCTGCTGAGCAAGTGGGCTTCAGGTTGAGTCAGCCCTATGTGAAAGGTGTGAAGCACTATCTTTTCTTGCACACGATGCCCATGTGTTCAATGCATCTGCATGCAGGCAGCCACATTCATGTCTTTTGGGATGCATCAGCTGCCCAGACACAGCCGTTGGTCCCAATTTGACAGCCATGCAGGTGCATGTCCCCATACGCAGTGTGTGTTTGGGGACACATACCTGCACCCACTCATCAAATTTGAACCAGCGGCTCCATCTGTGCAGTCGCTGCTTCCCAACAGACATGAATGGGACTGCCTGTACATGGATGCATGGAAAACACACGCATGCCATGCAGGGAAAAATGACCATTTGCTCAGATGTATGCATAGGTACGCCCGTGTGAAAAATGACTAAAATGTAGTCACTTTTGACAAAAGTTATATAACACCATGTTCATTGAATGTCTGAGAGATTCCTACTCATGTCTCTCTTCCATTTTTCCACAAATGGCAGACACAGCTTGTGACAAAGAGGCTGCACCTGTCTACATTGGGGAATATTGAAAGAACATCCTGAAAGTAGATCTATAACTGGATGACCTATGCCTATACAATGATTGATGTGTGGGACAGGAACCTCCCAGCTAATGATAAAACCCGGGTTTCTCAACAAGCAAAGGCAGACTCGTAGGCTTATCAAAAAATAAGATGTTACATTTTACACATATGTAACTGTTTGTCTACACCAGCTTATGGTATTATTATGCAATAAGCAATGCTGTGTTACACGGATGGAATGCATCCTTATTCGTCTGAATGTGATAGCTTTACTTTGTTTATGCGTATAATTTGTTTCCATTAGCAGCTGACAATCCAAGATAGAAACCATCTTTGTTCCTGACAATCCTCAGTGACCTTGAACGGTTATATCAAACAACTGACCAACAGCCAAAAGGTTGGGTTGCTGTATGTGTTAGTCTTATGTTCTCTGTCATTTTGTAGGATCTGCTGGGCAAAATAATACTGCAAGCAATCCAGACCAGAAGATCATGGCTTTATTCACACTTTAACCTTTTTCACTTCCAGAGTAATTGTTGCATTTTTTTACGCACACATTATTTTTTTTTGTTTACAAATGATTTTATTTTTCAAGGAATAGACTGAAGAACAAAAATACTGTTTCAAACAATACGTACAGTAATAACAAAGCACAATTGTACAATTCAGAAAGGCACAATCTTGTAAGAAAGATAAGAAGAGAGAAGAAGAAAAAGAGAATAGATTGTCAGTACATGAGAAATATAAATGAGAATGTAGGTTGAATGATATATCTGTCAACAGTACACGCCAATCACCCTTCAAATGAAATGTCTTTAGTCATGTAATAAATGTCTATGAACCCTCCATGATTCACATTTTCTATCAAATAAGTGCATCATATCCAGTAGAGTATAATGAATCCGCTCCATGAGCATCACATCATCAACTCTATGTAAAACGGAGGCCAAGGGTACAGTGATAGATTTCCAATGTAGGGCAATAGCCCACAAAGTGGAAATACAAATAGTATGTATCAATCTCATGACATCATCACCCCCGAAACCCCCGGGATACGAGCACCCAATAGACAGGACTGTATAGTCAGACGTACCGGGACACCCCGCAGTGAAGTAGCTACCTCAGATATCCTGCGCCACACCAAGGATAAAGTTGGGCAAGCCCAAAACGTATGAACCAAAGTACCGGTGAGGCCGCAACCCCGAAAACATAAGGGGGATATTTGTGGGTACAATAAATGTAGTCTTGATGGGGTATAATACCATCTAGTTAATACCTTGAGGGCAGTCTCACGGACAGAAAGGGATCTAGAACTCTTACATATGTTATCCACCATGGAATCCCAATCCTCATATGCACACATGATTTAACTAGTTGCCGACCGCAGATAGCCGAATGACGGCTGCACTGTGGCCGGTCAGTTCTGAGTGGACGTCATATGACGTCCTCCCAGAACATGCTCTCCCTGCGCGCCCCAGGGTGCGCGCACCCCGGCGATCTCCGTGATCGCTGTGTCCTACGGACACAGCTGATCACGTGATGTGGTAAAAGGCCAATCACAGCGGCCTTTTACCACGTGATCAGCGGTGTCCAATGACACGCTGATCAGAGGGAAATGCAAGTGCCGGTTCTCGGCTGCACTTTCCTCACGCTGTCAGATCGTGAGGAAAGTACTGCCGAGAACCGGCAGTTGTCAGAGCGGGGATCGGCACCGATCATCAGGGCACTGATGATCAGTGCCCCTGATGATCGGTGCCCAGCAGTGACACCCGCAAGTTTCCGCCCACCTGTGCCCAGCAGTGCGCCCACTAGCTCCGCCCACCTGTGCCCAGCAGTGCACCCACCTGTGCCCAGCAGTGCACCCACCTGTGCCACTCTGCAGTGTCACACACCTGTGCCCAGAAGTGCCACCTACCTGTGCCCAGCAGTGCCACCCACCTGTGCCCACCCCACCTGTGCCCACCAGTGCCACACACCTGTGCCCACCCACCAGTGCTGCCCACCAGTGCCACCCACCAGTGCAGCCCCAGCAGTGCTGCCAGTCAGTGCCACCAGTCAGTGCCCAGGGGTTCCGCCAGTCAGTGCCCAGCAGTGATGCCAGTCAGTGCCGACTATCAGTACCCATCATCAGTGTCACCTATCTGTGCCGCCTATCAGTGCTGCATATTAGTGCCGCCTATCCGTGACACCTCATTAGTGCTGTCTATCAGTGCCGCCTATCCGTGCCACCTCATTAGTACTGCCTATCAGTGCCCTTTTTGTGCTGCCTATCAGTGCCCATCAGTGCTGCCTCATCAACGCACATCAGTGAAGGAGAAAAAATACCTGTTTGAAAAAATTTTATAATAGAAACAAAGAAACTTTTTTTTTTTTTTTTTCTAATTTTTTGCACTTTTTTTATTTATAGCGCAAAAAGTAAAGTGCCCAGTGGCGATTAAATACCACCAAAAGAAAGCTCTATTTGTGAGAAAAAAATGATCAAAATTTCATATGGGTACAATGTTGCATGACCCGCGCAATTGTCAATCAAAGTGCAGCAGCGCTGAAAGCTGAAAATTGGCCTGGTAAATATGGGGGTATAAGTGCCCGGTAGGCAAGTGGTTAAAAAATTAATTTTTATATATTTTCTGAAAGCAGACACCATGAGGAATAAAATGGTCATAATTTAAATTTCTTACGCCACACAATATTTGTGCAAGAATTTCTGAAGCTCAAATTTCAGTAACAATACATTAAAGTTAATTTTAGGGCACACAAATACAATATATTATCCAATTTCTTGGTAAAATATAAAAGAAGAGGCTGCGCCAAGTAAACTAATACCCTTCTTGTCAAGGTTTATATTTTTGTGCACCCTCAAACTGATGCTGAACTTCAGTACACTTATATTTTCCATGTGCAATGCTTTAAAAGCCTCTACAAGGTCATCAGTTTGGAGTTAAAGTGGTTGTAAAGGCTCTGGGTTTTTTTACCTTCACTCATTCTATGCATGAAGGTAAAAAACCTTCTGTTTGCAGCAGTGCCCCCAGCCCCCTCATTACTTACCTGAGCCTCATCACGATCCTGCAATGTGCACAACAGCCTCGGCTGTCCTGAGTCTCTGCCTCCTCATTGGCTGAGACAGCAAGCAGGAGCCGTTGGCTCCTGCTGCGGTCAATCACAGCCAGTCAGCCACTGAGGAGAGAGGGTCTGGGTCAAGCCACAGCTCTGTGTGTGAATGGACACATGGAGCAGCGGGTGCCCCCATAGGAAGCTGCTTGCTCTGGGGGCACCCGACAGGAGGGAGGAGCCAGGAGAGCCTGTGGGGGACCCGAGAAGAGGAGGATCCGGGCTGCTCTGTGCAAAACCACTGCACACAGTAGGTAAGTATAACATGTTTTTATTCCCCTCCCCCCAAAAAAATGAACTTTTAGAATTGCTTTTAACCACAATCAGTGGCCCTAGAATTATTGCTCTCACTCTGGCATGTAACGTG